ATACTTATCAGTCCGAGCAGCGTTTATTTATTTATAGCCTGAGGGCGTGGCGCGCCGACCACCGCCCTTTAGCTAAACTTAAACTTAACCACACACGTTTTTACATCGTTATTTAATAGTACAGTGAACAGCTTTGGCATTTAAACAAATGTGCTGATCGTGATTATATAAATAGACTAACCTATTTGTGAAACATTGCTCCGTGATGTTGATGAATGAATATGTATTTTTAATTCAGCTCGTCGGTTCGTTGTGCGCATGTGTACAAAGCTGTGCACGTGTGATGCCAGAGTAGTGAAAGTATCGTAATATATTAATACTGCTCTCTCGTCTTCTTTTAATCGCGGTGTATCGGCTGACAGGAAACGATGGCGAAGCAAGAGGGCATGTCCACTGAAGGAGCGGAGAACAAGGAACGTGGAAACTGGACTGGCAAATTAGACTTCATGTTGTCGCTTATTGGCTATGCCGTGGGCCTGGGGAACTTGTGGCGTTTTCCCTCTCTGTGTTATCGGAATGGGGGCGGTCAGTATATTTTATTATGAATCTTTGAATATTATGTTTTAACAATGATTTTTATGTTTTTTAAATGTATAAATAGTACTGCATATTATATCACTACAATGCATCACACGGTCATTGTCGTACAGGTTCATAGTGACCGTTACACGAACGTGATCATTTCGCGGTTCATTGCTACCATTGCACTGACGTCATGAGTTCAAATTTAACGTGGATGACCGTCTTCAATGTACGTAGGGTGTCAATTCACAGGTATCGCCACTTTTTCCCTGCTTGACTCTCGCATCTGGCTTGCAAACCCAATGTGCGGGAGTGTAGTGTGTTTTAGTTAATCACCCAGTGAAATGAGTATTTGGAAATTCATCTTACCGGCAGTTGTCTAGGAAGATACTGCACATCTACGGTAGTGGTAGGTATGTTCTAATAATACGACAATACGAGTGAGATTTCTCATGATGACTTGAGGCAGAAGTGGGTTTTGTAGACACCATACTGTGTGCTTGTTTATCGGCTTGCTGGATTTGCGTGGTATCTATAATTTTTAATTTTGAAATAAATATGATCAAATTGCTGGGTACTTTAGTTGGTTCACAGTAATACTAGTGAGTTACTGTACTTCCCCGAGCATAAGCCTCTCCCCAAGTATAAGCCCACCCCTCTGTTTTTAGACATTTAACAAGTTGAGGCCATCCAGAGTATAGGCCCAGGGTGTTTTTACATTTATTAAAATATGCATGCAAAAAGTACAGTAGTGGTTCCTGCTTTTAGGAGAAAACTCGCGATAATTTCAGAGTGCATGGTGGGCGAACGTACAGAACATGGTTTGCACCTTTTCTATTCTGTTATTTACTCAGGATGAAACCCGATGTTGCAATACTGAAGTAATCCATATTTCTTTTGAGTACCGGTAGTAGTTTTCAAAACTCGTGCTCGTCAATTCGTGAGACCTGGTCATTGAATATCGTTTTACTTTTCTGAATAATCATGTCCATTGAGACGATCGTAAATGGGATGTGAACGAGCAAACTATTCTTCGACATGACATGTTTGCGACTGTGAAAGGTTTAAATACTTCTTCCACCCTCAGTTTACCTTTCGAAAATTGCGAATCAACATCTTTTAGGAGAAAAAACTTATTGTCGAAATCAGTGTTAACAGATTGCATTTTAACATCGTGGTAATTCACTTTCGCATTGCGTTAAAAAAATTACTTCGTCAATAGTCGGGAAAACTGTCTGTATGACAACAAATTTTGATTGGTTAACGAAAGATAAAGATGCCCAATAAAATAAGGTGTAGGTATACAAAGTAAAATCTAATAACTTCCACTTATGCTTGAGACTGTATGTGGTTATTGGAACGAGATGCTGTCTTCTTCCACTGTAAACTGGTTGTAAACACAATTTTTATTTTAGCAATCTCCATGTTGTGGTAACTGCAATTTCACATCAACTAATTTTATTGCAAAACATGTCAAAACATGTCTTGCTTAAAAATAATTTAAAAATATCATGCTATGTACATATTTAATTTGTGCAGGGTAATTTGCATAAATATGTCTTGTATTAGTAACTAAGGCAAATACCACAAACAATATGTTAAAATTATTGATACTCGCTCAAAAAAAAGTTTTTATGAGACTGCAAAACTAGATGTTAGTCGGCTTGGAAGTTAAGTTATACCAGGAATTTACTGTAGGTCTTCAAAAAAGTTATATGCATTGTATCTGTTGGGGACTCCTAAAAACACAAACTCAAATTTTGGGGTACCTGATTTTCTGTTTTTCCACACATAATTTGTTTGGGAATTTTATTTTACCATATCGTCGATTACAAAACTAAGATATTTGCTATATACCTATGTACGATTTTCTGTTGCTTCAATGACATACCAGGGGATAAGCATAATAGTCAAGTCATATCTCGATCTGTACATATAGTGTACAAATGTCAGTCAAACTTTTTTGAACCAGTAGCAAATTATGCCATGGAACACTTTGAGACCATTGTTATTAAAAGAGTTAATCCATGCACACAAAAAAACACAACAATAACATAATTAACATTTATCACATTCTGTTTAAGTATGCAAGGATACTAGAAAAATTAACTGGGGATGAATCCAACTATTTCCTTTTCAGAGATCCATTTGCATATTTCAAATTTTTAGAAAAGTACAATTCGTGGGAAGTTGAAAACTATTTATTTTTTGGCAGCACATGCTTAAACATGTAATTGTAACTGGTCACATAGTCTCTCCTTCTATGTCTCTATGTCTCTGTGGCTCAAATGGCGGGCCGAGCTTATCCGACTTGTAACAACCCCCCTCCAAATGCTGTGAAAACTTCCATACTTTTTTGTGCTTAATTGTAATGAATGAATGAATGAATGAATGTATTTTTTTTTTTGACAGGTGCTTTCCTCATCCCATATCTGATTGCCATGTTGTTATGTGGTATGACATTGTTTTTCATGGAGGTAGCATGGGGTCAGTTCTGCAGCGAGGGGCCGATAACAGCATGGAAACTGTGCCCTTTGTTTCGAGGTGAGTATGGAATGAAATATCATAATGTGGTTAAGTATATATTTAAGATAAGCCTGTTCCACTATGCGTTAACTATTAAAATTCAACTGCTGTGGTTGGGTTCAGCATTCAGACGTCATCAAATGTGCTGGTATAATTTGGTATTGTATTCTTGTTTTTTTTTTTCACAGCCTTATGATGCACATGAATCAATGTTTTATTTGAATAGATGAAAAAAACTATACAAACAAGAATAATAATTACATATAAAACAACCTAAACTGGTTGGTGACCATAAATCACGCAATACATGTACCCTTAGATCAAAAATGGCCGCCATTCGGCCATCTTAAATCAGACGTGAAACAAATTGATGTGCATCTGTATAATATCATGTATGATGTATGTGTGAAGTTTGATTGTGATTGGTCCAGGCATTTCTAAGATACAGGACGCAAGCACAGAAGCATGGAGGTCAAAACATAAGTCCCTGAGACGTTATTGATTTACCAGAAAATAAGGGGAGACGAGGGCCGGGCTCAGATTCTTGTGACCCTGTTTTCGCTAAACAAGGTTAAGTTACGTTCTTGAAAAATAGTTTGTATGGTGCATTATTATATTTGCTTTATTAGTAGCGCAATGCGGTGTGTCTATATGGCGAGATTTTAATGCAGCATACAATAAATGCAATTTAGTGACTCGTGTTTGTGTGGCTGTTTTGTGTTTTTGAGGGAAAATCATGGTTAATTGTTGGAAATTTTCAAATCCTTTTTGGCAGAGACCAATTTTGAATGCATATCAAGTGCCATAAAAATACAAGTGTGCGAAGAGTTTTATTGTTAACAAAATAAAATAGGGGTGACAATTTTTTGACAATTAGTTGTTTCAAAAATGTTTTTTCCCCACAAGTGTGAAAAACCTGAAAAACATTTTTGATGTTTTTTTTTTAAACAAAAATGTTGTTATATTGGGAGAACTGATAATCTATTTGTATTGATTACTAGGTGCTGGCTATGCAATGGTTATAATTTCTTTTATCACCACAATCTACTACAACGTTATCATCAGCTACACAGCGTTTTACCTGTTCTCATCATTTACGTCCACTGTACCATGGGCAGGATGCGATAACTGGTGGAATAGCGCTGCTTGCTCTATTGCTAAATCCGTTAACGATACCTTTGCGGCCAACATTACGACCAACAGTACGCTATATTTGACTAATTCAAGTGCTCTTCTAAACTCAACGTTGCCTGCACGTATCAGCCCTGCCCAGGAATACTGGAAGTAAGTTTCTTTTCATCGATTGAATTGCATTGTGGGTGCCATTATAAACTTTGACAGAAATGAAATCAATTTCAAACAATTTAGAGTGAAAAAATAAGCATCATTTGTGAGGTGAAGGATTCAGATGCTGGGATGATTTTTATCATACGAGTGATTGTCCGTCGTTGTCCGTGTCAATGTTTTACTTTTTTGACTTCTTCTTGAAAACTATAAGCCTGAATGCTTTTGATACTTGGTGTATATGTACCGTGGGTAGACCTCTCTCAGATTTGTTCATTTTGTAATGATATCTTTAATTATCTACAGTAATTTTGGTGAATATTTTTGTCATTTTTGGTAAAAAGTGATATTTTCTTCTTGTTAAAAACCACAATCATTTATGGTGAAAAATGATATTTTTGAATTTTTGTTGAAAACAGCAAGTCCCATTGCATTGATACTAATGATATTGTTCATTTTCTAATGATATCTTCTGTTCTATAATTGAAATGTGCATTGCTAACAGCGGAGCTATCTTAGCCGAGAGGCTGCTTGTCTAATGATATCTTCTGTTCTATAATTGAAATGTGCATTGCAAACAGCGGAGCTATCTCAGCCGATAGGCTGCTTGTTGTTGTTGTGATTGTATATATAGATTCCCTATTTTCCTTTTATGAGATATCTACTGTTTTTCTACATTCATAAAATATTACATGTAACGTGTGTACGGAGATTACGCAGTATTTATAGATATTGCTGTATTTTGTGATGGTACACTGCTCAGCTTTGCGGCTACGTTTAGCGATATTTTGTAGTACTTAATCAATATGGGAAATTAATGAAAGGTCAAAACTTTGTTTTGGCACGTTTTAGTCTTCTTCTGAGCCAATTTGACACTGAGTGACTTGACTATTCTCAATAATCACAGTTCATCTATCATAGCGCGATAGTGCTACAATAAAGCCATGTTAAATATTAATTTTGTTGGTCATGTACTTTATTTTCGCTTGGAATTAATTTTCGCTGTTTCCACTGAAGAAATGATTCAGTGAAAATAAAATCTAACGAATATACCTTTTTAACTATATATTACATTATACTTGTCAAAAATCAGTAAAAATAAATTTCATACAAAACACCCAAAATGTTTTTTCAGCGAAAATTAATTCCAGCAAAAATAAAATATTCTACAGTTTATAACATTAAAGGGTTATGAGCCAGTGATTATTTTTAGCTCTGCTGTCGACTTTGTCGAGCGGAGCTTATCATATGAGTGATTGTTCGTCGGCGTCTGTTGTCGTCCGTGTCAATGTTTTACCTTTTAGACTTCTTCTTGAAAACTACAAGCCTGAATGCTTTGATACTTGGTGTGTATGTACCTGGGGTAGACCTCTCTGAGATTTGTTCATTTCATGATGATATCTTCAATTCTCTAATTTTGGTGAATATTTTTGTAATTTTTGGTAAAAAGTGATATTTTCGACTTCTTGTTAAAAACCAAAAGTCCAATTGCTTTGAAATTACATATATAGATACTACATCTGGACCTTTCTGAGATTTGTTCATTTTGTGATGATATCTTAAATTCTCTAATTTTGGTGAATATTTTTGTAATTTTTGGTAAAAAGTGATATTTTCGACTTCTTGTTAAAAACCAAAAGTCCAATTGCTTTGAAATTACATATATAGATACTACATGTGGACCTTTCTGAGATTTGTTCATTTTGTGATGATATCTTAAATTCTCTAATTTTGGTGAATATTTTTGAATTTTTGGTAAAAAGTGATATTTTCGACTTCTTGTTAAAAACCAAAAGTCCAATTGCTTTGAAATTACATATATAGGTACTACATGTGGACCTTTCTCAGATTTGTTCATTTTGTGATGATATTCTCAATTCTCTAATTTTGGTGAATATTTTTGTCATTTTTGGTAAAAAGTGATATTTTCGACTTCTTGTTAAAAACCAAAAGTCCAATTGCTTTGATATTACATATATAGGTACTACATGTGGACCTTTCTCAGATTTGTTCATTTTGTGATGATATCCTCAATTCTCTAATTTTGGTGAATATTTTTGTCATTTTTGGTAAAAAGTGATATTTTTGAATACTTGTTGAAAACAGCAAGTCCGATTGCTATATACATACTATACTTATTGTTCATTTTCTAATGATATCTTCTGTTCTTTAATTGAAATATGCATTGCTAACAGCGGAGCTATCTCAGCCGACTGGCTGCTTGTTTTTTTTGTGGTGGTGGTGATGACTAGCAACAATGAATTAATTTTTTTGCCTTTGGGTGTGATCAATTGGTGCCATGCAGTCACTCAAAGTATGAACCAGTGCAATGTGCCATACCAAAATGTTCTTGAACAAATAAATATACATACTGTGGAATACTTTATTTTCGCTGGAATTAATTTTCGCTGAAAAGGCTTTTCGGGCGTTTTCACTGATTTTCGATGAGTTGAATGTGAAATGTAAGAAACAAAGTATATTCGCTGGATTTTATTTTCACGGAATCATCCCTTCAGCGAAAATAGCGAAAATAAATTCCAAGCGATAGTATTCTACAGTAGTACATGTAGTCATAGGATTTACAAATAAACAACATACAACTTGAACGTTAACGTATCGTATTTTAATGTTGTTTCTTTCCATTTATTAGCTTTTTGTAGATACTTTCAGCAGGCGTTGCTAATTTTAGTTTCAAAGCATTTCATTTTTTTTTTGCTACATTGCATTTGCATGTTTTAGTGGCATTAGCCAATGGGTATTTATTAAATGGAACAGAAAGTATAAATAGTTTCTAAAGATGCAGTTTATTGTCTTCAATTAAAGGGAAAATATTACTCAGAAAATGGAATTCAACAGTTTAGTGAGACCACTATTTAAAAGCCCGTAAATGAGGTTTAGTGGGAATGTGAATACATGCATTAGAATCTATAAATAGACTTAAGAGTTTAGCGCATATTAAAATTCTTTTTACTTTAGACCACTCTAGAGGGGGTCCATATAATTTCTCAGTATGTGCTACGTTCACGTTAAGGGATCTTGGCATGTGCTGAAATTTGTAACCCTTTGCGGTTTGCAGAGGAATTACAGCAGTTGCATTACTTGGGACGAGCTTGGGACTGTCTCGGCTCGTACTGAAATCACGCCCTCATTCTTCTATCTATTATTTGACCCAAACATGGAAAAAAGATATGAATATGATAATAATAATCATTGCTATATTGAAATTGTATACATTTGCTGTTATGGTAGTTATTACGAGTCATCATGCACATGAACGGCAAAGAAAATTTGAAAAACAATTACTTTTTCGCGTTGATGTAGCATTTGCAGCAACACTTAAATATGCATTGCAACGTTCTGCATTTATCTGACCATATACAGCTGCACTTCCCTCCATCGTCATGTCATACTAGTATGAATTCGTACAAGTGTACGAGTTATCTTAAATTCACCACAGAGGATGTGATTTCGGCTTGTGCCGAGTGTTCAAGCAGCAAATCTTGGCATGTACTGAGTTCACACGCGCGTTTTCGTACATGTGACTCGTTCCTGAGTCTCGTCATGTAACGTGAACGCCACTATAATCTGTTAAATTTCCCGGAATTCCACTGAATATTGGGGTACTATTGTTCTAGTTGTTTAAACAACTAATCTACATATTACATAACAAAACAACCACACATGAATCTCTGTTCACCATAGCCAAGGCTACGTTCAATTTTCTTATCCTTAACATTTAAGGTAGCGGGACTATTATTTACATACTTGGGTTCATCTTCTAATTGTGACTAAATGACTACAAATAGACCCAGGAAAGTATATATTTTTAGAATCGCCAGACTTCAAGCTTTTCACAAGTGTATTTTGCATGCCCGTATCTGCATTCTACGACGCGTTACTCAATCAAAGGTGAAAAATGACTTTTTCTGTAAAAAAAATAATTACGCATTTATGCTG